AGGATTACTCTCGTAACATCCCCCTTTTCTTCCAAAAGTTAAGTAATATTAAAATACTGGTATATTGTGGCAGATAGGTTGAGAATAATGTACAGATTAGTTTCTTTAAAATATTCAAACTGCTTTGTAAAACTTCACATGTTAACTAAGTAAAGTCTCTGTGGAATGTCTCTAAAATTCCTATAGACAAAATACCATACTGAGAACACAACAAAGAAATTAAAACACAATGCTCTTTTTGCGTTTGAAGTCAAAAAGAAACAGTTCACAAATCGTGCTCATTCCTTGGCACAATTAGTAGATAACAAAGTCTTTCAGTCTGGTTGGTGGTTTGACTGCTCTTGTCCTGGTGGTCTAGAGAGGCTGGTACTGGTGGCAATGAAGGAGGTGGTTTCACAACAGGCGATGTCTTGGTAGCAGTTGTCTTTTTCGCTGTTATGTGAGAATCTGGTTCAATCTCACTGGTAACTTCCGGAAACTGTTTTGGTGGTGTAGTTTCAGACGTTGATCTAAGAAACTTGCGATTGGCCATCATTGCGCCTGTACTCTTTACCATCAATGTCAACAATGTATGACCTTGTCGACACTTGTCTGACGCAAGTCCCGTGATGCCATTCACCCGTTGTGTCGGAAGGCACTGGTTGAATACGTACTGGTTGACCAACTGTGAGTTCAGGTAGCTCCTTAGCATGACTGTCGTAATAGAGTTTAGCCTTTCTGTGCTTGAGGGCTTTCTTGGCACTGACACTGTCAACAAGCTCAGGTTTCAGAAGTTGTGTAGCAACTGGGAGAGTGGTGTGTGTTCGACGCGACATAATTCTTTGTACAGGGCTACTGTCCATACCTTCAGTAGGGGTATTACGCCATTCCAGGATTGCCTTTCATGGGTCTTTGTCTTCTCTTTGTGACTTTTTGATCAGCTTCTTTGCAATCTTTACAGCTGATTCGGCCTTGCCGTTTGACTGACTGCGATATGGCGATGTCGTGACATGGCTGAATTCCCAGGCTTTGGCAAACTGAGCAAACTCTCGTGATGTGAGTTGTGGACCATTATCCGACACTACGGTATCAGGTATGCCATGTCTGCTAAACTGTGCCTTCATACACACAACAACAGATGTGGAAGTTGTGTCTGTCAGCTTGTCAACTTCCCAGTAGTCTGAATGATAGTCAACTTGAACAAGATATTCCTCATTATGTAGAGTGAAAAGATCCACACCAATCTTACTCCACGGACGTTCAGGCACTTCATGTGACACTAAGGTTTCCTTCTGCTGTTTGGGCCTCATTTCAGAACACACTGTGCATTGACCAACATGGTCCTTAATGTCTACAGTCATGTTTGGCCAATATACAACATCACGTGCCCTTCGGATGCATGCTTCAGCTCCAAGATGGCTTCCATGAAGGCGCTCAACCATTTCACTTTGCATTGCTGGCAGAATCACAATTCGTGATCCTTTGAAGAGAACACCATTCTGAACACTCATTTCCTTCGGAATGTCCAGTAGTCTCTGACACACACTGGAGTGTCCTCACGTTGTTCTGGCCAGCCGGCTAAGATGGTGGACTTGAGAGTCTGGAGATTGACGTCTTGTTGAGTGAGACGCTGAATTTGATCGAGACGCTGATCTGTGACAGTGATACATTCTGCAGCGTTGATATTCTCCAGTTCGCTGATGAAGGAAGTGTCTTCCGAAACAGCAAAGATTTCATAGTCTTTCAAAGTCGGCTCTATCTTCCTGAGTGGAAGTGAGGCTCGCAACAGGAAATCTGCAATGTACATCTCTGTGCCCTTCTTGTAGCGGACATCAAGGTGGTACTTTTGCAGACGTAGTATCATTCTCTGTAGCCTTCTGGGAGAAGAGAGAAGAGATTTCTTGAAGATAGTCTCAAGTGGCTTATGATCGGTTTCTACATTGAACAGCTCACGACCGTACACGTATTGATCAAAGCGTTCACAGCCGAACACCACAGCTAAGCATTCTTTTTCAATTTGTGTGTATCGCTGCTCTGTAGGAGTACGTGATCTGGATGCGAAGCACACAGGTTGACCATTTTGAAGCAAGGTTGCACCTAGCCCTACTTCACTTGCATCTGCTTGTATGGTCACTTCTTCACGCACATCATAGTATCTGAGCACAGGAGTGTTAGTCACTAAAGTCTTGATGTGCTCAAATGCAGCCTCATGCTGTGTTTGCCAACACCACACTGCGTCATTGTCCAGGAGACGTCGCAGTGGTTCACAGGCATCTGACAAACAAGGTAAGAATTTTGCCAGATAATTGATGAAACCAATGAAGCGTTGAACAGCTTTCTTGTCAGTTGGCTTGGGCATCTCTGTGATAGCACACACTTTGTCAGGGTCAGGTTTGAGACCTTCTGCTGTAAGAAGATGACCAAGGTAAGGTATTGCTGACCTCCGAAGTCGTAGTTTTGTTTTGTTCAGGTTGATTGATCTGGCTCTTTGCAGTAGACCGATGAGATTTTGGTCATGATCTCGTGTGGCCTCTTCAATTGTGTCTCCACAGCCAAACACAAGAATGTCATCATGAATTACATCTACCCCAGGTAAACCTTCCAGAACTTCATGCTGACGTCTCTGATATTCTTCTGGAGCTGTTGCGATGCCAAAGGGCATTCGTAGCCACCTGTATCGTCCTAGAGGAGTCCAAAAGGTAGTTAGGTAGCTACTTGTTTCATCCAGTTCTACTTGCAAAAATCCATCTTTGGCATCCAATGTCGAGAAGACTTTGGCTGTTCCAAGACGAGGAAGCACTTCATCAATTGTAGGAATCTGATAGTGTGAACGTTTCAATGCCTTATTCAAGTCTTTTGGATCCAGGCATATGCGAATCTTGTTTGGCTTCTTCACAACAACCACACTGCTGATCCAGTCAGTTGGTTGAGTCACTTTTGCCAACACACCTTTGTCAACAAGTTCATTGATTTTTTTCTTCAATTCACTTTTCATAGCTTATTATTGATAAATGTTACACTCACGAGTCAGTAAAGTCATTGACAATGGAGTTTCAACCCGAAATTAGCGTTTTGTTTCCGCCAAAATCGCTCCACTTCTGACACCATTTTAGTGTACTATTTTAATGACGTAGAACGCATCAGGGTTACATACAAAAGTAAGAATGTGTGCAGTTATGACGGAAAAGGATTACTCTCGTAACATCCCCCTTTTCTTCCAAAAGTTAAGTAATATTAAAATACTGGTATATTGTGGCAGATAGGTTGAGAATAATGTACAGATTAGTTTCTTTAAAATATTCAAACTGCTTTGTAAAACTTCACATGTTAACTAAGTAAAGTCTCTGTGGAATTATGACGGAAAAGGATTACTCTCGTAACAATCGGGATGTACCCTGTATTAAACTCGGACCCTTCTCACTTATTACATTGTGTGTACCATTACCAAAACAAATATGTCAATTATGCATGTAACTGTTGCTGGAAGACTATGGTGACGTCACCCCTTTATACACAACTTGTAGTGGTTATGTGCTGGGAATGACAATGTTATGAAAATAGAGTTCAGACTAGGGTGAGGACATCCTCAAGGATGTAAACTAAAAAAAGTAGGACTTTTGTGAGGTCAATTAAACTTTGTTTGTTTGTTTGTTGTTTAACGCAGCACTCATCAATATACCAGCAATATGACGGCAGTCTGTAAATAATTGAGTAGAGACCAGACAATCCAGTGTTTGATATCATGAGCATTGATCTACGCAATTGGGATACGATGGCATACATCAACCAAGTATTGCCAAAGCCATCTGATTTGTCCTCCATAGAACTTTGACTGGAATTATTTGTTTTGTGTGTTTGTTTGTTGTTTAACGTCGCACCTAGCAATATTCCAGGTATATGACGGCGGTCTGTGAATAATAGAGTCTGTACAAGACAATCCAGTGATTGACATCATGAGCATAGATCCACACAAATTGGGATACAATCACATGCATCAACCAAATCAGCAAGCATGACTGATCCTGTTAGTCTTCATTGCACCGCCTATGCCTCACCTGTATCAACACAAATGGTTGTCACATTCAATATTGACTTTGTTAATTGAGTTTTCTTAGGGCCTTTCTCCTGTTACTAGGTATGATTTTGTCAATGAATTTGTTATTGTAAAATATTGATCAGACAAATGACCAAATATTATGTTGCTTTTCTTAGTAACATAACATTTACACCAATTTATATGAAGCAGGGTTACTTTTTTTCAATAGTATATATCATCCTTAGTATTAAGGCAATGATATAGTAAGTTTTCAGTGATCTTCACATAAGGTCAAGGTCACTGAAATGGTCATTCAGAAGGTAGTTCTGCTTCTTTGTGTGCTGAGCTAGCATGTTAAAGCTAGCACCATGATTCTAAACAGAAATATTTAGGCATGTGATTCACTGAACTTAAGTTAATAGTGCATTTTACTTTCATATTAGGGTAGCAAGAGGCATAGGACCTTTTGTTAAAATTGAACTTCATTTGGGATGTGTTTTTACAAACAAAACATGATGCATGAGACTCCCAAGTGATGTCATTAGAGAGGAATTGCATATTGTTTTTGAACCTAAGTAATATCATTAGACCTGAAATTCCTTTAGTTTCATCAATTGAACTAGTGGCAAGGTACTTTAATCTGGTAAGGCTGGCATGTATTTTGCCAAAGCGAAGGTAATGGTATCAGACTCAATATATGTATGTAATGATGTTGGTGAAGCATGGGTGGAGGAAGGAGCTACTTCTGTTTTGCTGTTGTTTGTTGTTCAACGCCTCACCCAGCCATGTTCAAGCAATAAGATGGTGGCCTATACATAATGGAGTCTTGACCAGACAATCTTTTTATTTATTTGGTAAACCATCAGGGTATGACAACATGCTATCAACCAGTCAGCAAGCCTGACCAGTCACCACCAATCTATTTGCTTGCCTCTTATCTCCAGCACAATTGCTTGGCACCATTTCTCTATTTTGTTTGTTTCAGATCCAGAGTTTGTAACTGCCTTCAAGGACCACCACATTGACCATGTCATACGGAGGCTTCTTACATCAAGTCACTCTCCTGCCATTATAGACCTGGCTCAAGCAGTGCAGGACAGACTTCTAGGGGCACATCAAGAGCATGTGTCAGATACACCATAGACACTAGCATGTGTCACATACACCCTACAGACCAGCATGTGTCAGATACACCATAGAGACCAGCATGTGTCACATACACCCTACAGACCAGCATGTGTCACATACACCATAGTGACCAGCATGTGTCACATACACCCTACAGACCAGCATGTGTCACACACACCATACAAACCAGCATGTGTCACATACACCATACAGACCAGCATGTGTCAGATACACCCTACAGACCGGCATGTGTCACATACACCATAGAGACCAGCATGTGTCACATACACCCTACAGACCAGCATGTGTCACATACACCATACAGACCGGCATGTGTCACATACACCCTACCGACCGGCATGTGTCACATACACCATACAGACCAGCATGTGTCACATACACCATAGAGACCAGCATGTGTCACATACACCCTACAGACCAGCATGTGTCACATACATCCTACAGACCAGCATGTGTCACATACACCCTACAGACCAGCATGTGTCACATACACCCTACAGACCAGCATGTGTCACACACACCCTACAGACCAGCATGTGTCACATACACCCTACAGACCAGCATGTGTCACACACACCCTACAGACCAGCATGTGTCATATACACCATAGAGACCAGCATGTGTCAGATACACCCTACAGACCAGCATGTGTCACATACACCATAGTGACCAGCATGTGTCACATACACCCTACAGACCAGCATGTGTCACACACACCATACAAACCAGCATGTGTCAGATACACCCTACAGATCAGCATGTGCCACATACACCCTACAGACCAGCATGTGTCATATACACCATAGAGACCAGCATGTGTCAGATACACCATAGAGACCAGCATGTGTCACATACACCCTACAGACCAGCATGTGTCGGATCACAATACGACCAGCATGTGTCAGATACACCATACAGACCAGCATGTGTCACATACACCATAGAGACCAGCATGTGTCATATACACCCTACAGACCAGCATGTGTCACATACACCCTACAGACCAGCATGTGTCACATACACCCTACAGACCAGCATGTGTCACATACACCCTACAGACCAGCATGTGTCATATACACCCTACAGACCAGCATGTGTCACATACACCATAGAGACAAGTATGTGTCACATACACCATAGATGGCATCCATACTGAAACAGTGCATTGAATGAATAAAGAAGTTGAAATCGATAAGTTAACCTTGACTTTGTTTATATTATAGCTTTAAAGGAGCACTGATCTAACGCAATTCCCCGGGACTGGTTGTTGACCAGTGAGTACCCGGATGTATAGCAGAAATCTAGACCAGTTCGCGACCTCTGCTGCGCCATTCGTAAGCACATTAGTCACTTTTATGGGTAGTAATAAGGGTGTATGGTCACATTGATCAACAAAATGAAATACAGTTTTCGAGATAATAAGGAAATGTAGGTATCTTTGCAGGTAGCATCGGTAATGGTGATGAAGTTTTCATAAGTCACTTGCTTGGTAATTTTGCGATTTTCGTTTACACTATTTTGACTTGCAACACGAAGTAAATATTGCACCTGAGCATTGCTTTTTTTTATAGTGAGTATATTTTTTTACTGTCAAAATGTGTAACATTTTCAAATTTATTAAACGCCTAAATATTCAGTTATTTTACAAAGTGACTGAAAAACATTTCCATCTGTATTATTAAGATAACGAATTCCAAACATTTTGATGTTTAATGTCATCACCAAGAGACTGAAAATGTTACGTTGAAAAGTACATTTCTATGTTGTTTGGCTTCTAATCCAACATAATAATCTTTTGATCGTCTTAATCAATTTTAGTCAATCTGAAGAATTTCCCAACCAAGACGTAGAGGAACAAGAACGAATCGGTTCAATGCTACAGCGAATGAAGGAAAACAAAATGCAAATACCATAATTACAACCTACCAAATTTATGTGTATAAATTTTGGGCAGCTTCCTTGTTCGAGGAATGTATCCGTGAATATCCACACAAAGGAACAATATCCCACTCGTCTGCAGCTGTACAAAGAAACTTATTTGATGTATATATCGTTTCGGGATATTATAACCCGTGTTCCTTTCTCAACTGATCACTTAGATTGTTTCAGGTGTTTCACATAGGTGTCAAGTCTCAAGGGTCGGCTGAGAAAGCCCACGTGACAACTATTTTCATAACGTCCACGGTTCCTAAAAAATCCATTGAGTGATAGATAACAATGAGCAATCAATCAACGTAATATTAGTTAACCCTTTGAACAAAGTATGTTGTTTTTACATTGACACTTCACGCCATGATATGAGTGTATTCCCTTTGTTTTAGTAAACCTAGACATGTAAACACTCCCTTTTGACATATCCACTGTGCAAGATAACAGTGATTAATCAATCAACGTAATTTCTGTTAATCCTTTGATGGCTAGGAACGATCCGTTGATTTACAAAAAAAGTAAATCAACTGATCATTCACCTCTTGCTGGGCTGCCACGTGCATATTACATAACACACATTTCACCTCACTTCAAACCTGGATTTAGATTGAATAATTACCCCAGACACAATAAATGCCAAATGGGAACCTTTGTCAGGTAATCTAAGTGGTGCTACCACTAATTGTACCTGTAATAAATTCATTAACTGAGCATCAAGTGAATGACGACAAATACACAAGTGTAGGGTTATACCAGAAAACGTGGATGACAACAAGTGAGTAGTAATCGTATTATCAACGCAATCCGAAATCCGAAAATGCTTTCACTGCATGGATACTTTTTTTTATTATTAAACTATAACCATCTGGGGTATTTCCAAATGACGACATACGATGAGCTCCGCCTTTGTTTTTGTCTGTTTGTTTAGGCTGAAGAAATTAATTAACATGCGCCTTTTGTCGAAATCTTTATAGATCACGGTTAAACTAATCAGTGTTCAAAAATGCGTAAAACAAATATTGCCTCCAGCCTCCAAGTTTATTTAGCTGTCCTTGCAGACGGTAGCCCAGTCTCTGGTCACGCTCAGTTGCATTGCGTATCATCCGGGTATACTCACGGGGAAAAAACAATAACAAAGGCAACAACCAGTCCGGGGAATTGCGTTAGATCAGTGCCCCTTTAAAATGCCACATAAAGAAATGAGTTCAGCTGAGTGAGAGCTGAGGCTATGAAGCTGGGCTTAAATGAAGCTGCTTACTTAGCTGTCAAGGTACATTGTCCCAACACATTTATTCTTGTTTTGTCCACTTTTGCTTTATTATGATAAAAGGCCCAGTAAACCGATAATGAGCCAACCAGTCCTTGTTTTATCCTGTACTTTTACATCCCAACAATCTTAGAATTAGAAAATGAATGCTCCCATGTTTGGAGCTCTCTATAAATCCATGAGGCATGTTACATCACAGGAACAGGAAGTAGAAAAAACACATGGTTTCCAACCGGCACATCTGCAGTTAACCACAGTGTGAGTACTTTTCATGCTCTAAATACATGTACTCATGTCACAAAATGCATTGTTTAGATTAACATTTGTTTGATATATATAGAATACTAAACGAGCTCCCGTGTAATACCAATTTTATGAAACGAGTGAATAGTTCTGGTATCTGACGAGCGAAAGCGAGTCAGATACCACAACTATTCACGAGTTTCATAAAATTGGTTTTACACGAGAGCGAGTTTAGTATTTTATTTATTACTTGTCATTTATAATGTTTTTAGAATTATACTGTTGAGTGTAAATAGGCTGACACCTACACGATCCATGGCATAATCCAATTGAGTTTAACAGAATAATACTTCAAACACGTCAAAAATTGAAACGAATTAATTTAATATCATACAATGGTCCACCTTTAGAATTCAGGCGTTCGTCCCACAAAATGATCGTAGTGCTTAGGCTATCACAACTCACATAATTTAACTTAGACTAAAGACTCTCGTTGCGCTAGAGTACGATCACCTTGTGGAACGGGGCCTTGCAGCTCAAAGTTTACAATGACGTCACAATACCCGATGACGTAATTTGTTGAATTTTGTTGCAAGATCCATCGGCGAAACAATGCCATGTGACGTCAGCCTAGCAACAAGGTTGCTGGGGTCATCGAGTGTGCATAAGCTCCTCCGAGTGAACTATCATCTCCACACACAATGTTGTTGAATACGCCAAGGGATGTTGAGAGCTTTCAATATTTGTTCGTGAAACGTGTTCCGAGAGTACATAAGCACGCGTTTTGGTATTACACAATGTGTAATAAAGCTGTATGTTTATTAAACGGGTGATCTCTTCACGGGCAAGTAATAAACCAATATATTTAGTGAAGGCGTAATTGTGTTGGATTGGCATGATGGTTCTAACAGTTGAATATTGCAGAATTTGGAAGCCATATTCTTATTTGACTGTCCATGTAATGTTTTGTTAATTAGTTTTATGAGTAAGCAGGCTGACATAAACAAATGCCTTTTTATTTCATATTTTAGGAGTCTTATAAAACATTTTTCCACCACCAAATAGAAACACACATATCTTACCTTATCCAGACTCATACTAATTGATTATCTGTTTTCTCATTTCCGAACTATGCTTGTTGTGTGAGGTGATTAAGGGGTTTAGGTGGTCAGACTCGCTGACTTGGTTGATGCATGTCATTATATCGCAATTGTGTTGTTCGATGCTCATATTGTCAATCACTGGATTGTCTGGTCTAGACTTGATTATTTACAGACTGCCGTCATATAACTGGAATATTGCTGAGTGCAAGTAGAAACAGACAATCTGTTCGACCTGCGTTCCTCAACACTGCACTGCAGATGGGAAGTGTAGTTTCTGTATGCCTTTGGAAGAATTTACACAGTACCTTTGCAGGGCAGAAGAGGAAGATGGGATATGATTCATCATGATCAACATCATCCTCATCTGAGATAGCTTCAATGAAGAAGAAGAAAACAGGGCACCATGAGTCAACACCATGCCCTTCCTCAAAGGAAGAAAGGGGATTTGACCTGCAAGAGGAAGTCCAACCTGAACTTCATTCTCCAAAGACCAGTTCCAGTCATCCCTTTAAAGAGTTCGTCCATCGGCAGCAGGAGTGTTGACTCCCTGATTAAGAAGGCTTCTAAAACTAAGAAGAAATCCCCTGCTGTTTCCTCCATCCATGATTAAAGACTACAGCCCTTAGTAAAAAAAAAAGCTCTTCTTCTTCTTCTTCATCAGAGCCATGCATACCTTCGTGAAGTTGATTACCTCCATGAAGCCAATATCATAATTATCCACAAAGGGGTCTACGAAGTCAGATTCTACAGCTCAGAAGAAAGATACTTACACACAGCCCTCCACCTCTGTGCAACCTCAGATGTTCAGGCTCGGTCCTTCGTACAACCTCAGACAATCGCGCAGATTCCTGCGTTCGCGCAGCCTGTGTTCTACACGCAGGACTCATTACCTACATCGTCCCTGCACGCAGCCTACTCCTCCGATATGTCATTTTCTGAAAAGACCTCTCATGTTTCTCATCATTGCTCACAGCTCCTAACCCCAATACTTCTTAACTCCATCAAGATGAGGATGTTTTTGAGCCAGAATAATATATCTCCAGTCGAAGAAATATCCCTCCATTTATGATGACCATGAATTAATGGATTGGATTATGGATAGATTCCCCATCTCCTCCCCTTCTAGGGATTCTTCCCTTGCTGATACTTATTGTATCAAGGGCCAAGATATTGACACATTAACAATCCCACCGCTTAAGCCGATCTCCCAGATAGCAAAGAACCTAGATGCTTCTTTTTCTGAGGCTACAATGACCGAGGGACTACAAACTCCTAGCTTCGATCCTAAAAAACTTCCCATGCATGGCATGTCAGCATTTCTCTGAGCTCCAGAAATTGATGAAGACAATACTGTCACGCAGACTCTACGAGGAAGACTTATCGGGTATGATAAGAGGCTAGCTCAGCTGGATACAACTGCCAGACATTCCTTCAATGGCCTTGCTTTGTCACGCTCCATCAATGAAGCAATGTTAAATGATTTGAAGAATCGTCAGACTGACCAAGAGAAGATATTTCAATCGGCAGTTGTCGTTCAGGAGAAAAGTTTATTTCTGAAGACATCAACTCTGCCTCAGCTGGACTCGCTCTACTTTATTGCCAGGATAGGGAATTCACCTTGTTGGGATCTTTATACTAAGCCAGTTCTGC